AAAGTTGGCCTATCAACATGTCAATCCCAGAGTCGTCAATGCTCTCTCCATACCTTAAATCTGGCTTCCAAATTATACCCCCCCTTGCACACGTGTGCCCCTAAAAGTGCTGTGGTTTTGAACATGATCATGTACGTATAGGTACAACCTTGATACAAAGTTCCATTGTACTTGTTTTTTTAGAGCGTCTTGATAAAATTGATAGAAAATTTAATGCGATAAGTGATTTTCCACACAATAAAAGCAGCAAAGGTTTTTCAATGCGTCCAAGCGTCATCTTTTGAAAATGTACTATTTATTGTCACTCACTTGTGTTGATATCATTGCATTTGTTTGCATTGTTAGTTGTATTTCGATTCAATTGCATTCCATTGAGAGTTCGATAATCTGACAGATCAACAAGTCCCAAGAAAAATCACCCTTTGATACGTTGCATACTAACGATAAAGTCAAACCTACTGCGCCAGTCATAAAATGTACATTTCATTCGAATTTTGAAAGGAACACAACGAAAGCTGAACCTATTTGAACACAATGTATTGCTAAAACTTTTGTTCACATTTTGTTTTTGTCATCATTTATTCAAAATCAAATTTTAAGTTTTAGGTTTAGCAAGTGAAAACCCAATTAGTCTCTAAACTATGATCTAATTGAAAGTTGTATGTATTTTTTTAGATCTAATATAAGAATTTTATTATAAAAACACTCTCGGTAAAAAAATAAAACCAACGCAATCATAATTGGGTCTCTGTTTTCTTTTATTAAAAACTTTCCAATCCTGCGTTATAAATGTTGTCATTGCCGACGATTTTGTAATTCATTCAACTCTAGTTGGAATTTGACAACTCTGAAATGACAACATTTACAACGCCAGATTGGAAAGTTTTTTCTTATTCCTGTCTTCTTCCTGTTTGGATTTCAATGTTTGGTAACGAACTCTAGGTTATGTTGAGCGCTTGATGGGTAATTCGATTACTTTGCTTGATTTAAATATATGACCACTCATTTAAAAAATTATAAAATTACATAACTCCACATATGTCCTCATAGAAAAAAAATTATAGCCAAAATATTTATCAAGGTGCAAAAGTATACTAAAGTTGTTTGAGATATGTATAACTTTTGATAAATTAACTGAAATAAAAATAAATGCTCAACAATGATCAGGCCCTATATTTTTATCCAAAGATTTTCACATTGTTTGTTTGAAGAAAAACTAAAGCAATTTAGTTCAATAAAATAGAATCCGACAAACCTTTTCAGACATTTGGACATCACACTTTTCGGATAAGTGATTATACCTACGTTTGTAGGGAAATTCACTTCCGAACAAACACACAATTTATTGTTCGAATTCACGATTTTCGAAAAGTTCACGAAATTGGATTTTCATTATCCAAACTTCAAAATAACTATAACATTTTCATATGACTGGAAATGAGATCCTAAAGCCTACAAACGTGAAAGATAGGTCAAATTATTAATGATTTTCAATGCAATTTTTTTTTGTTTCAAATTATTTATTTACATCAACATTTAAGTCACGTGGAAAATTGATATAAGATCATCAAATTGACACAATGCTAGATCGCCTTACAACGTTTGCATTTTGGTCGCTTTTATGGAATTCATTGTAGTTTACGTAATGATAATATCGGGCGAGCCAAGAAAATGTAATCACGGAGATAAACATAAGAGATCCATATAAAAAGTAAACACAACTATATAGCTGAAATGGACGTATCTCATTAATCAAAATCACAATTAAATTTCCAAAGGCATTATTACAGAACCAGGCTGCCATCATGACCGATCTCATCGAAGGCGGTGATTGTGTGAATGAGAAATTCAACCCGGGTATGGAAAGCCAAACCTCCCCAAACATCAACAGTAAAAACTGTGGTATCTGCCAAAATATTGACAATCTAGAATTGTCCGTTGAAGTGTGACTCTCAATATACAGCTGCAAAATTGCTGCACAGAAAAATGAAAGCGCAGCACTTAATCCACCCATTGCCATACTCTTCAAAGGTGATATTTCAATGTTTATTGCACGGATCAAGGGATTAAGTTTCTCCCAAATGGGTATTAAAATTAGAAGCAGAAATGGAGCGGCTGCTTTGGCTTCATCAGACGCAATTGGGTAGCCAAACACTGTCGTATTCATTTGCGATGATTGAAACGTCCAAGTTGAATCGATTTGAGCATATAAAGCCCAATACATTGGTAACGGAATAAATAATTTCAACACCTTAAATTTTTGAAAACGATTTTAGGATTTAAATAATTTGAAAAGGAAAATCATTGTAAATTTTCTCATGATTTTACCTTCAAAACAGTGCAGACATCTTCAATAAATCGTGTTGTGTATTGGTCTTTTGTTCCATCGATCCATGTATGATGACGCACATTTTTAAGTTTATGTTTAACACCCGCGTAAATACAGCCAAAGACTTGAAACAATAAATTATTTGTTGATTCAGCGACCACTTCTCGTTTGTACAAGGACATACCCAGTAAAAATACAACTTTAATGAACAAGGAGATAGAAAAAAAGAAAACCAAATACAGCAAAATGATGATTCCACTTTGAATTTTTTCTTACGCCAAGCTGCTAAGAAAACAACTCCGAGAGACCCAAAAACAGCGGAGTAACATTCAGTTTTCCCAAAGCAATGCGTTCGCTTCTCGATTTCCGGGGGTATAATTTTCGAAAGTAGAATTCCAAGCGTATACACGAAATAATAATGTGAAAAGTAACGATCCAAATCCCTAGATTGCCTGGGCAACACAAACTGAGCTCCGCCCAAACTCGTGACGCAGGCGCGAATACTGCCATTGCCAATTGCAATTACTATCAACGCTGTTATGATCAACGGTCTAGTTTAAGAATATATAATTGTTATTTAAAATAAATTCAAATGAATTCAAAGAGTGATCTGTTGTCTTACATGCTGGTTGCTGATGCAAGTGAAAGTGGAAATGTTAGGATCGACATGGCAATCCAGCCAGTGGCATATAAAAAAAATAGATAGAATATCGTTTTTACATTTCCCAAGTAATTATCTGCGACAATGGCCCCAAAAATCGGACAAAGTTGGCCGAAAAAATTGAAAATATGAAAATAATTTGTAGCCGATTCTTGGCTAAAGTTGAGCGAATTATGGAGATACGTCACGAACACAGCTATTAAAAAAATGCACATATTCCAAATGGTGACTAAATAGCAACAGGTTGATAGTAATATGCAGAAATTACTTGCAATTAGCTCATACTTCGTACACCGTTTGCAACAAATGACTCAAGCAACTTCGAGAGTAACACAAATATCACGGCTTTAGGATACCTCAATTGCACTTGATTGGAATCTATCTAATTAAGAAAATAAACTTTAAACCGTATCTGCGGTATTTTTGTTCAAAATAATATTGAACAATTGTCAATACTTACCGAGTTGGGATTGAATAAAGTCCCATAGTCCCTTTGCAAATGTTCGTCATTTAAGACTGGAGCCACTTGAAAAACATGGAACATTTTGGAAATAAATTTTAGTTCAACGCTAACTTTGCAATAATAAACAAAACGGCATCAAACATAGTGATCCGAATCGGTTATCATGTAAAGAATTGGAAATATATTTCTGACCATTTGATTATTTATGTGTCCAATTTAGAAAAGTGTAGACATTTTCTTCGGATCTTTTGTCTGATCATTTTATAAATTGTCTGACCACATTGGACTTTTCCGCAAAGAAGTCGCGTTATATTTTAAAAGGTGACAATATCTCACCTTCATTCACTTTTTCTGCCATTTTTTTATGAACTATGATGGGTAGATGAAAAAGCTGCATAAGTTCCCGTTAACTCTTACATATGTAAATTAAGTGCCGGTAGTTTCGATGGGTATTACTGCTTCAACAGTTTCTGCCAGTGTAATCCACTGAATGGTTCCACTCACATTGATCTTTCGCTCATTACTAGTGCATAAAAATATTACTGGCAAGCTTCACTCAATCTGGCCACAATCATTAAATATTTTCATGTGACCATTCGTAATCCCTAGTACTCGAACAATCTTGAAAATATGTATTACTCATATTCAAGTATATCCCAATGAGTCTCTGTTTTTAGGGTGATTTTAGTTGAACAGAATCACGAGAGTGACGAATGTAAATATAAAGTAGAAAGCTCAAAAGCGCGTTTCAAATAAAAGCGGAATCAACAAATTGATTACAAGTCATATGACCAAAATAAAGTGATACACGGTTCATTCGACGCGCCTATCAGTCCAATTTCAGACGGTGAAGCAAATGGCACCGCAACATGACGTAGATTTTCAGCAAATTTGTAAATAATTTTTTGCATCGTCAACATTCACTGGATCATGTTTGTTCGTGTTTGGGAGGGTGACCAGTAGAGAATCATATGAACGGAATATTTTTAATTTCCATTTAGATTACAATGTATGAAACAAAAAATAAACATACACAAGACGAATAATAATCAGAGTAAAGGTCACGGAAGCATCCATGTCACGTGAGCTGAATAGGGAACAAAAATAGAGCAAAGATAAACTCCCTGGAACGGAACGGAACTTTGCATCATTTTTTTTCTAAGACATACTTCGATTAATTCTAATTGTTTTGAAACCACATTGACCGAGATATGAGTTTGAATCATTAGATTTTTTTGTCATTTTTGGTTGAAGTTTCAGCAAGAAAACGATCCAAATGATCGATGTTTTTGTTTTGATTGCGGTGTTTCAATTTGGAAACTTTCAAATGAGCCGTTTGAAATAATTAAGCAATGAAAAATCCAGAGCGTGTTACTAGCTGGTCCTCAAATTTGGCTTGGCAAATCTAGAGGGGAATATGAATTTTGTACTGTGGATGCATTAAAATAACGCAACGCATACTCATCAGCAGCTGACGTCAGTTAGTGCTGCTGACATCAGCTCGTAACACGCTCTGGAAAAATCACAACAAATCATAGAAAATAAACCAAAAAGAAATTCGACTCAACGGAAGAATGGCCGTATAATTTATGTGTACAGTGTACACGAAACAGTTTCTGTTACAAACGCATACATCGACCTCATCACCGGAACGGAGTCACAACACTTGAAGCTCAAAAACAACGAGAGCAACAAAAAAACGACACCGCTAAATTGTTCCACTAATAGCACAGTATGACCCCATATTCGGTGAACCGACAATGAATTTTCTAACGAATGGTGGCGTCTAAGTGTTGCATTTTAACACCTTTTATCCAAAAACGGTGTACGAACTTTTACGCAGTACGCAATATAATTGCATTACACACTGTTTTCTGTTCCTATTTATGGATTTTTTTTTCTTTTTTTCGTATTTGGCTTGAATTCATTTTCCCATTTCGTTTTGGCACCGTATTTTATTTTTGCGTTTTCATGTTGTTTGTGGTATTTTTTTCGCATGGCTGCGAGAGCGCTCGCACGTCTTTGCGCCATTACTTTTTGGTGAAGAGAGTGAAAGTAGCGAGAAAATAAAAAGATCTATTATTTTTTTTTTTGAGCCTTTGATTTTTTTTAGCATTTTTGTTTGGACTTGTGACAAGCAAAACATTTAACAATTGATCATTTTGTTTCCGACTAAGAAAAGTGTTGAATTTCCGAATTTTTTTTCTTATAAAAAGACAATTTGGTTCGGTTACACAAGACATAAGCCACAAAAGATATCGGAGGAAAATAAGAAAGAAAAGAAAACGATCGGTTTTTCGGATTAAATTCGCTTTGGTACTCATAATTGGACTGAATTAAGATACCTTTTATTACACATTTCAAGCGTTTCAAGTCCCGTTAGTTCATTAGATACTTACTATGCTTTTACCACTTGCATTCTAATAATTGAACAAAACTTATTTTCGTTTGTATTTTTTTTCCGCAGCGAAAATATTTCGGAAAATCTTTTCACTATCACTTTTTCTATGTGAAAAAAAAACAACCACATCGATATATATGCAATTTTTGTAAAATGATTTCTCAGCAAAATGGCATTTATAAATGCACCTTGTTGAATCTATAGCAGTTTATAATTCTCACTTTTTTTGCTGTTCATTTGAGATATATTGTTGCAGTACGAATGCGATATGAAAACAGTTGATTGTACGCTGTTAGCAACTGTTAAGCCCACGAGTCGATTTTAATTGCACTCCCGCTGAAACGAGCGAATGAATGAATATGTTATACGTGCGAGAAATCAAACAATGCGGGCAATTTCCATCATTAGTCATAAGGTTAAGATCATGCGTTTCGCTTGAGTGGCAATCGAGCGAGAGACTAAAGTTAGTTAGCTGGAGCCGAGATCGCGCGCGCTCCGTTCGCAAAAGTGCGTGATTAGAAATGTGGCGAATGAAAAAGGTTCTGTTCAATGGCGCAAAATTAAAATTAAAATGGTAATTTCACTTCGGCACTTTCTGTATCTTTTCATCGAGCACGAACCATGCGCGCGCAGTACGAGAGCGTGCGCTCGATGTGAACACACGTCAAAACAATACTTTGCTACTACCTTCTCGGTGCCGCTGTTTTGTGTCAATGATGGCAGATGCATTTTCGTTCACATGTGCTCGCACTCATGCACGACTACCCATTGTTTACATTTGGCATAAACACTTTTTCCACTTTGGATTTTACGTGATTCAAAAAAAGCAATAAAAGAAGCATACAACAACATAAGCCTTAATGCCAAACAATGATGAAAAATCGACCGAACCAACAGAGAAATTTTTTTAAGTGACGACATTCAGAGACATAAAAATTTCGAATGAAAAAACAACCGAGCAGCGGCGGCAACAACAGTAGCTGCACAATTGTTTTCATTTGTTGTTTTGTTCGATGAGGTTTTCTTCTCACTCTCGCTAATTGTCGTTGCGTAGTAGAGAGACGACGGTTAGGTGTTGGTATCGAGCGTGCACGCGCGTGCGCACATAACTCGTTCACCAAATTTCTTAGCTCACAGCTGATCACTTTCTTCTGCTTCATCATCAAAATATCTTGGAGATAGCGATATTCCATCGACATCGCGTACACACAGTTTTGGTGGAGCAATCGTTCGAGTCACATCGCTCGCTTCTCTCGGTAAGAAACTATTCGGAAGCAATTTTTGGTGATACGAAAATACACAGAGTGAGAGAAAGAGAGACAAATACGAAAGAAAAACAACCAGGAAAGGAATTATGAGCAAATAAGTATATCAAATAATCAAGCAGCAAGTGATTTCAGTGCGTGTGTGTGCATTTTTATTTGAATTCAATCATGATTTGGTGCATTTTATTGACTTGTACCTTTGGTTTGGGATTTGTAAGTGGTGATCCAATTGTTCGCAATACAACGGTTGCTGCAACAAATATCGAATCTACAATTGGTACGCCAGCACTTCTCGTCGATCCAACATTGACCTCCAGTCAAAACACCACAGATGGACAATATGAAGTGAGTTTTTTTTTGTCCATATTATGTTTTTCCACAGATGCATTTACAACAAAAAAGAGAAAAAACCGGAAATATATTTGATATTCATAAAATCTATCTCGTGGGCAGACAATTTTGAAGATAACACCATTCTCAAATTCAACGGCCGAACCGGACGAAACAACAACTTACTTGGCGATTACGGATCTAGATATCGATTTGACTGAGCTCATTGAAAAAGCCCAACAAAATACAACAATTGCACCAGGTTTCACTTTTCTCCGTCTCTTTCTTTTTTTTCACATTTGTTCATCATCCATTAATAGTGTAAACGCGCTTTTTCCATTCCATTTCATTCATTCCAAAAAATAATAACCATCAATGACACTCAAAAAATTTCATAATTTCTATTCATGAACTAACCAAATGCATAGAAACTCATTTTTTATTTGTCATTTCTCTTTCATGCATTCGGCGATCACACCTCGATGGCGTATCACCGATCGCATAAAATAACACTAAACCCAATTTTTGCTTTGCGCTAACGGTGCTAACTCAAAAATCAATAACGGAAATCAAAAACGTTGACCGAAACCCAAAACCAATAAAATTCGTGTGTAAAAAACAGGTAATAATGAGCAATACGATGAGCACAATATGTCAGCACAATCACGACAAGCACTCCTCTTTAAACAACTTGGTCTGCCAGCTAATCCGTTTGCATCTTTAGCGTCTGCCCTTAGACGACCGTGTGAGTGTCACAAGGGCGTGTGTGGATGTTGTACGGGCATGCTTTTTTCGGCACTGCGTCAACTTGGATGCATGAACATCACCTATCATCCCGATGACTTTTCGTTCGAATTCAAAATGATCATGAACAATGCCGTTTTATATAAAAACCGGGTCACCGGCCGTAACCCGCCACCAGTGTGTGTTCGAATGCCACGATTTTCATTTGTCAAAGTGTGTGCCAATTTCTATGATCTCCACTTTATCGGCCGAAATATGCACGTGTGCATGGAAATGTCTGCTTTCTTCCAAGATTCGGAAATTTTCAATCGGTATGCAATTCGTTTAGTTTTCTAATTGTTTCAACTGTTTCCCACCATTAAGATAAAATTAAAGTCCAACAAAATGGTTTATTTAACTTGACTTATGGAAAGTTTTGTATAAAAATTGTTTGAAACATAGAAGAAATACGATAGATGTGATTTCATCATTTAAATATGACTCCAAAATTGGTGTTTTTGAATTTGATACAAGAAAAATTTATAAGAATCTTTCATTTGTCAAAATAGCTCATTCGATTGCATGCGAATCGGAGACAAAGGTGTGAAAATTGTTCGGCCGGAAGATGCGGGCTTTTTGCAAAAGCCAGGAACCGATGCCGAAATCGATACGGGCTATGACGATGTTGAAGATTATGATGAAAACGCCGTTGTTCGACGAAGAAAAAATATCAGGCTTTAATTATTACACCCACTCACCACCGCATATTTGTTATGCATAATAACAGACTCGCAAAAAGAAATTATTTATTCGCTATAAATTGTTATATATTTTTTGTGTCTCATATTTATTTAAAATAAAAATAAATTTGTAAGGAAAGAAAGTGAGAAATGTTTGAAAGTTGCTTATCACCATATGTATTTATATCTCAAAATGTTGAGGCAAATATTGGCTCACGAAAGAAACGCGTAAGTTTATGAGGATGAAATGCTGGTTTGAATGAAGGCATTAAAAGAAAGTACATTAACATAGACGCCAGGTACGTTGGATCCAGCACAGCCAATTCCCCATGCAGCCAATCCAGCAACGAAATGTTGTCCGTTTACTTCGCACACCATAGGCGAACCGCCGTCTCCCTGAAATCAAATTAAATGGAAACGTATCATTCGTATACATAGATTGCTCGAAATAATTATGGCTCGAATTATGGACGCACTTAAATTTTTGAGTGAACTGAAAGCGATTGACAAATCTGCAAAAATTCTCAGCATTTTGGTCAAAATAAACAAAAATAACCGACATAACTTTTGGAAAATTCAAAAATCCAAAAAAAAAAAATTCAAATATTTTCACTAATTTTAGATAAATTTATTTGAATCCAAATAAATTTATACATTGTTATGATACAGCAGTTCACGAAATAATTTATTGACTAATTTTTGGATTGAACATAATAAAATTAAAATCATTCTGAAGTATTGAAGTATTCAAGTTATCTACATCTGATAAAACCGTTTTGTACAATATTTGCATTCTAAAAGTGGTTTCGTTAACATTTTCTTGCAATTATAATTTTGGCCATTGTTGGTATTGGCTTTCAATATATTGGTAACTTCTCAAAATTTCTTCAACAATTCAGCATTGATGATTTTATCGTGTTTATTCCGAAATTGGTGTGAATTTTTGAAATTTTTTCTAAACTCTAAGAAAAATGGCAATTTTGTGAATTTTTAAAAAAATATTGTCGGTCATTTTGCTTATTTTGACCAAAATGCTGAGAATTTTTGCCGATATTTTGCACAATATGTTGTATTTGGTTAAATTCTTTTAATATCAGATGGTTTTGTAATGTTTAAAAGAGCACCCAAAAACCAAAAACAATAAATAATTGCAATAATAATCACAAACATGTCAATAGCCTGCATTTTTTGCATAAAAAGATTATTATTACGCACTTTCATCGAACCAAAAGCAGAAAAATCATGAAAAATCAAAAAATATATATATTTTGCAAATGTCTTTTCGTGGTGTTCTTTGAATTCAATTTCAAAAAATTTAAGACCAAACTGCAAATTTTTTATGTTATTTTGAAAAATTTAAGTGCGTCTACAATTATTTACAAAGGTGAACCGCCGTCGCCCTGTTGCCAAAATCAAATTAAATGGAAACGCATCGTTCGTTTACATAACTCGAGGCGTTAAATATTTTCCTGTCGATATTTTACTTACCGTGCACGCATCTTTGCCTATAAAAATATAGTGATAGATTTATTAGAATGTAAATTGATCAAGTGTTTTGAACATAACTCTGAACAACGGTTAAACCATTTCCAAATCAGTATATTTTAGTTGGCAACAAATGAATAAAATATTCCCTCAGTTAATTTAAGCATCGAGTCCGATGTATAGATATCGATATGTTCAAATTGTTCACACCGAGTTGAATGCACGCATCTTTACCTGGTTCGCCACCTGCACAAATGAAACTGGTTGCATCAAAAACATATGCACTTCCTAATCTTGTGGCCGCTAACGCACTTTGACATTTAGCCGCATCTAGAATTGGAACATCCACTTCTTTTTGAATCGTTTGATAGACGCCGCTAAAATCATTTTTGCCCCAACCACTGACCCAACACCTGCAAATTATCAAATGAAAACAACACAACTTATTCATACTTTCCGCAAATATTTTTGTCAAACTGTACCTTTGACCCACGAATGCTGATACAGGCAAGCATGCAGTTGTGATTGTTGGTAGTTGACCCAATGGAACCGCCACAGTGAGGCGTAATACGGCGACGTCATTCTTTAAATTAATTGGATTGAAATTCGGATGGATGAAAATCTTTGAAACCACAAATTCTTGGGCTGGCAAAGGCTCTGTATCTCCGGCTGCGTTCCATTCTCCCATTCGCACACGCAACTGTGCTGGAACAGCACTAAAATAGTAATTCGAGAGAATTAATTTTGTTTTCGAGATATTTCTCTTCGTGCCAAATGTGTGTTATACGAAGAAAAGCGCATTCAAAATTTCTTTATCACAAAACCAACAAACGTACGAGTAATTGGCGACTTTGTGTGCGGTGGTAAGAACGTTGAGTGCATCAACTAGAACACCAGAACCTTGATAGACATCGCCAGGACCGAGAAGAACCGCTTGCCATGGATATTTGCCGTACGGAGCTTGGCCCGGCCCAGCCGCTGGACTGCCGGCCACCGGCGGATATCTTACCCCACATTTATACGGCCCGGGAAAACAACAGCGCTGCAATCCAGTGAAACAAGGTGCTGTTGGAACAGTCGGTGATGGGGGCTAGAAGAAGAATAACCTCAAATTTTATTTCACATGAATTTTAAATGAAAATAGTAATTTTTGTGGGCTCTTTACATTGTTTACAATACGAATATCAATGATTCCGCTTCCGTCATTCGATGGTGCAACGGTGGTTCCCGTGCACGTTCCAATCGGTACACAAATACAAGTTTGTACTGTACCAGCATAGGCTGGTGGAGTGGCAAATACCTGACCAGGTATTATCGCTTGAAATGGATTGAACAGTGGATATGGCGTGAACAATGGGAATCCAGCCCGAGAAACTGAAGACAAAAATTAGTCAATAAAAAATAGCTCTTTTTTGTAAAACTTCTAGGCAAAATCCTATATACGTTGTGAATAGTTTCCATTTGGAATTATTGGCTCCGGGAAGATCATCTGTGCATAGATCGAAAAGAACAGGTTATTCGATGCGCCCAAAAGAAGTATTGCATTTAAAAAGCGAGGCATTTTCTAGAATTTAAATACACAATTTTAAATTGATATTTCAAACACGAGAATGTCTGTTATTATCGCATTAAAAGCGCAAATAAACTCACGTCAAAGTGAACTGAAAATTGATTTATTATTTTATCTTTTTTTATAGATAACGCACAAGTTTCACGACCAAATTAGAAAAATATTGAAAGGAGATAATTCAACTTAAAAAACTCAATTAGAAAAATATTGCAATATAATAAAATAAAAATCTCAGGAATTCTTAATTTGTGCCTTTTTTCCACTAAGCAATTGCAACAGTTTCCACAATTGAATGGCAACACCGAAATTCGACTTATTCTGATCTGATCAGTTGAAGTTCTAAGCGCAAACTAAGCTTTCATATCCGTTTGGCACAATTTAACACTTCGATTTTCCAGATTGTGCGAACGATTAGTAATCCATTTCAGAATGAAACAAAAAAAAGAACAATGGTATAAAATGTCATAAATGAAAAATTAATGTGTCCGATTCAAAAATCTGTTGCAATAATTTCAATGGGCGGCTCATCTCATAACATGTGTTACATAAATAGAACAAACCGAAAAAAGTGAGTGACTCATGTGCATCGCGAGCATCAATTTTGTATGGAACGAGCGTGAAAAGCACAAAACACAGCGGTTTACCTGCAATAGATGGAAAAAGAGCAAAAACTAATCAAATTAAAGCCGCATTTTGTGGCCGTTCAATGAACAAACTTATTATATCATTAAATGAATTAACCATATTTCATAATGATGTTTTTGTGTTTCTGTTCATCGTGCGTTGTGTGCTCGTTGTTTGGTGTTGATCTAGATGTGTGTCTGTTCTACAAATCAGCGGCCAATCATCGGTGTTCGTGTGTGCTGGGAATTTGCAATCGACAATAATCACATTCAATTTTCACCATCGATTCCAATCTCATCGTTTGGAAAGATTCACGTTGTCGTCGCACAAGATTCAAATCATGCCCTTCCGGTTCTTTGCATCGTACATTTGAACGATCTTGATTCAACTGCAACGTTTGCAACGCTTTTGAAATGAATGGAAAAAATTGTGCGCGCGCGAATTTGCAGCGAAAGAAATGGTTAGCAAACGCCGTGTACAATTGTGGTTTATGTGTCATTGTCAAAGCATTTAACTTTTTGTTGCATGTGCATGGAATTTCAAGCAGAAATTGATTTGTGACACCAATTTCGGATAAACGATCTTTTCGACCAAACATGTATTTTGTTTATCCGCTTGACCGACTATCTAGACTATCCAGAGCCAAACGGATGGATGTCTCAATTTGTTACCTACTTTTGAATAACAATTTATGATGGAACCAAAAATCCATACTCAACGATTCCTTATTCCGAAAAAAAGGAAAGGTTATTCAAATTTCAAATGAGCAACTTAATTTGCATTCGCAAAATTCGCTTTTGAAATGTTTAGAACTTGTTCCAAGTCCATTTAGCCTGTATGCAAGATGATTGTATGAGGTAGGTCATAAACAATCGTTTAATCGTTTATTTTTTACATTGAATATAAATCCATTTTCTCTTCATCGTTTATGTGCTTTATTCTTTCATTGTTCAAGTAACTATAAGTATAGTACTATAATTCTAAAATACGTCTATTACCACCCCCCCCCCACACACACACAGAAAATCTCAACAAAAAAAAAATTGATTCTGTATTGTTTGGATTGCTCTTCATTACTTTGACTTTGAACAGTTGGGTTTTTGTATGCATGCCAGCAATGGAGGAATCGAGCACTCACAGTTCAAACAGCTGTTGTCGTTTTTGAGTTTTTGGCCAAGTTTCAACGTTAGATTACCAAAAGTGCAAGTTAATTTTTCGTTTTCGGCATTCGACGTCTCTTCATTCGATACAACATCATCTTTTGCAGCTATTTGAAAAAAAGAAGAAAAAAACAAATTTTCATATTTTTAGTGAGCGAAAATGATTTTTCACCGTCTATTGCTGTTTACTCACGGCATTTGATATCAATTGGGCAACACGTTGGTGTTTTGTAATATACAGGAACACAGCCAGCTGTGATTCGGTGTAGATCATGTTCAATGCCACAGTTGATTTTAACGCAGTTTGAATTTTTCGCGAATGATGTTTTGTTGTTGAAATTCGGTGTGCAAAGACACATGAAACATGAATCCCCATCGGGATAGATACGTTCTCCGTCATAATATGATCGACCTTCGACTTGACACTTTGACAAAATGTCAACGTCATTGATGGGCGTTTGAACGGTGCTGCAACACTGTTCCAAATCGCTGTATCGGTTTATCGTTGGCATAGAATCGAAATCAACGTGATTCCATCCTCTGGACATTCTACATTTGCACATTCAATGCGCATGATGGAGCTGCACTGACAGTCAGTTCTGCACATCGGAACCACTTCGTCGGGAACATTTTGGCCAACATCGAATAATCTACCTTTCACGTGGCATTTATTCAGAGCGAGTGTTCCAAATTCTGGACATGTAAACCTAAATTGAATATCAATTAAACGAAATTGTGAGTTTTTCGAAGCATTTCCGTATAAAAACAATTACTAACTTCGTTGGACAATCGTCACCGTCTTCATAATATGCTACGCAACCGATTTCTTCATAATGTTTTGGCACTTTGCAGTCCAGCTTTTTGGCGGAAGTCACTTTATCGCAAACGATTACGAATAATAACAAACAACAACAAGGGAACGCAATTTTCAAATTCATTGCGACAATCAAGCAGAAACGTACGTTCCAACACGAAATAATAAATTGGTGTGTTCGGTTTGTAAATTAAATCAATACTGAACATTTTATCAATAAATAATTGCGATTTATTTTGCGCCAAACACACAAATACAAATATGCACTTTTTGCAATTTTACGCCGCGTTTCTTTTATTCTTTTCATTGATAGTCTACTTAAACGAATTTAGATATTTGTTTCGTTAATCTTTTCGGATAAAAATCATAAACACTTGACCCAATAATGCAAAGAAAAAAGATTACTTTCTTCGTACACAGTCAAATGGAGCACACATACGCCGAAGCTCTTGACGCTTATCTGATCGTAGAAATGTGACTGAATTGCATGCACGGTTACAAATAAGTTTGAGGCATTGAAAAAATACAACAGCTGTTTGGAACACAATCACCGACCACTTCTGAATGCATTTTATGTGGGCATGTGACGAGACAATTTATTAACCGAATATCAACAAAAACAAATGGAAAAGAAGAATAGGCATTGATTGTGATCATCAGACAGATGATCAAGACCATTGTATGAAATAAAAACTCGACGAAAAATCTGACGAATTCAAAGTGATTGATTGCAAATCGGCGCATTGTTTAAACATCACTAATAAAACTGACTATTAAGTAACTTACGACTATTAGCGCTTGTAATTGCTCAAATGATGGAATGTCAAACGTCGAAATTAAAGTGGTTTTCTTTTTTTTTGCGTAGTATATTGTTTTCATTTGATTCAATCATTTAATACTATTAATGCATACTATTAACCCTCTAATGCATACAAGCGCCTCTAGACGGGCAACATTTGAACGCCTGTAGAACGTACATCGGATCACATTGCTTCAAAGAATTTTTTTTATTCGTCAAAGTTTTTCTTTATTTTTGTCTTTGGCAATATTTGTCTATGTAGCGCGATTGTAAAGTTATAAACAAAAATGTGTGCAAAAACAAAAATTTGACAAAATAAATTATCCGAACTTCGAATTAGACACATTTTTGACACTTTTAAACAATGGATTTGATTGTTCTCTGATTTATGTCAATCGCATTTCCTGACTAAACCATGAGGAATCCAGGATTATGAATATTTTTTTAAATATCTATGGCCAAAAATCAACCAAGTACCAATACTCCTATACCCTGAGAAAAAATAATGCATTAGAGGGTTAACTCATTTAGAAGAATGAAAATCGTCGTATTTAAGAGTGCCATAAAAGATTTCCATTTTAATGGATATTAAGTCACTCTCATGCACATTTGAACAACATTTCATTCACTACGCAATTATATTGCTGCGTTTAGTCCATTGTTCGTATTTGAATTCGTTAGCAGTGGTTGGACTTTAAGCACGTTATGTACGGCGTCGTTGAACATTCGCATTCCAGGCATTTATCATCGCTTCTCAGTTTTTGACCATGTTGAAGTGTAAGATCACCGAATATCTTTCATCGTTTGAGTATGGTATGGCAAAACGTCAATCGATTGTATCGCTATATCGAGCTAGAGAAGTAAAAAGTGAAATTATTAATCCTTTTCATTAATATTTTTACGTATATTAGATTAGTTTGGCATATATATAGCGTACGGCATTTGACATCCCTATGTAAACCCATACACAATTTCTTATAATACTGCTTCTTCTTCTTCACACTGTCGTACACAATGGGAGCGGCCATATTGAAAATGTATACAGTTTATTGAGTGCGTTTAATGATGCGTCAACATGCGCATATGTTATTCGATTTATCATCTTGTGCTACTGCTTAAATAAACACTATTACATTTTCGGCCGATAGAAATTTTTTCTAAATAAAATTGACACGTCGTGACATGTAACATTCGCCAAACCGTCAATGCAAATGCCGATAAAAATCGTATCATTTTCTTCTAGCCGATAAAATTGTGTGCCGTGTTATGCTCAGTCGTATTAACGTGCCGATTATCGCGGCAGATAAAAACGGATAAAAATTGATTTGTGGGCAAGACACCGCGAGAAACAAGTCGTGCTCGTTCGCATTAACGTTGTGCACACAGGCATCTATAGGATCAATCACTATCGGGAAAGATGCGTTCGCCTGATGAACATAACTGTTATCAATAAATAATTTGACTTTTATCATAAAATGGCAAACAGAATGAACATAACTGTGCAACTTCTGGAAACTCTATCTGCTAAATCTTACCACAAATTAAGCGAGAGCTGCAAAAGTCATTCAAGCCATCATATTGTTGAACACATTGTAGCCAGCTCAGCTATGCATCCTTGATCATATTATGCGAATACATGCGAAATATCAACGACGCATATGCGATCGCTGACACACGTCCAATGATATAGTACACCTACTGGAATAGCCAATAAGCCATTATCCTAAATCCTGGGAAAAATCCTTTTGATTCAATCATCTAGACTAATAAGGATCGTCTAGACTAATAAATTCAATCTAAGGATGAGATAAAATAGTAATAACAATAAATTACGGTCTTAAAAGATGTGACCCTTTGTTAAGCTATGCTAGCGGCGCGACATCCTTTGATGTTCAGTCTAGACATAGAGAACTCATCGTTAAGTTAGGTTTAGCCCTTATGGCGGGGCGGCATCCTTTGATGTCCGACTCAGAATTAGTATATAAGGTCGAGTGAATCTCAGTAGGTTAAGTTAGTCTTCATCCGACTCTTGAACAGTTCAGACAGTAGCCTCTCGATTGTGAAAGTGTTAATCAATAAATATTAAACGGAAAACTTTTTTGACTTTCGATTTCAATCAGTTTGTACAGATAACCTACTTGGACTATCGAAATTGTAGCATTTGCTCTGCTGCTGGGACTTAAGAGTAAATGGATACAACATGATAAATCATTTTCGTCCCCAAACAAGTCAGGACAAGTAACGTGATGGCATGTGAAATGAGCACTATTATAAAACTGTTCACATGTACACGATGTCATGAACCGAGTTCACCCACATAGTGAGCTCCTCAATTGAAATAACATTTATCTTCCGCGTAACTTCAAAGGTCTGGACATTCAAATCTGCCAAAAAAGTACAAGTTGAAACATACTTTGTCGATCAGTTGATTAGTAATTAGTAGGGGAAGGTGGGGAAATTCGGAACACACATCGAAATAATTTAATAGCATGCTATAAAATTAATATTTTTCCAAATTGTAAGGTCGTACGATATAGTACGTGTGAAAACCTAACTTTTAAGAGTTGTCGCTTGATAAAATTCCAATCGGCTGGAAAGTTTTCACCTGTTGGCAAAAAAAACCTTGATTTTTCTATTTTCAAAAATGGTGGAGAAATTCGGAACACTTTATAAATGGATAGAAAACTGAAACAATTTTGATGCAAAACGTTGATGGAGAGCTAGAAAATGACAGAAGGTTTTATTTTAATAGGGAAAAGTTCAAAAATAGCGATTGTTTTTAGTCGGATTTGTAATTCTTGCTTGTGAAATAGCTGGTAATCATTTTGGTGCATTTCAAGTGATCGCATGAATTGCAATGAATAATTTGTCGAAATTTTGCATGAAATTTAATAAATATGCATAAAAAATGCGATATCAACTTGAAAATAATTAAAAATCACTTGATCAAATTTTCGTATATTGAGTGTTTCGAAATTCCCCACGCACTAAGGTTTACAACATAATCGTGTTTTGGTCACTCAATGAATTTTCATGCAAAATTCCTTTTGTGAGTCGAAATATTAATGGTGTACGATAATTATGAACGTATTCATCTGAGTTGGTTCTTGGAAAAATGTTGTGAAATCAATGCATACAGGCATTCTCAATATTAAATTTTCACAACTCGATTTCATGTCGATGTTGCACAGAGCTATCAGTACGTGCACACGCGTCGGCTGCTAATGGAAATATGAGGTTTTGTTTAGAGAAAACGATGACAATTGTTCGCATTTCTCAAAATATTCATTTGCGGAGAAATTTGGTGGTGTTCCGAATTTCCCCACCTTCCCCTAATTAACTAGTCATACAAGTGGGCATCATGTGATGAAATGATTTAATACCTTGTGCAATTTTCTACAGTTCCGTATGCTGCACACTCAATATTATAGCGACATCTATTATTAAAATAGCTTGTAGTAAATGCATTTATAGCATTTCCCTGCAGTTGCGATGTTTCCTATTGAGTTCCCTTGTAGTACTGACACATTCATGTTTGACACTTGTTAACTACATACCACAGGGGAATTCAATAGGTAACATCGCAACTAGTGAATTGCTATGAATGCGTTTACTACAAGCTATTTTAATAATAGATGTCGCTATAATATTGAGTGTGTGCTGCTAACCTTTTGGAACGATAGCTGTCAAAGTCTTGAACCTCTGAACGCTGCAGAATTTTTTTAACTGTAAATTGAAATAAAACTTTCGAAAACTTTCGGCGGGAATTCTGATCATCTGAAGAACATTTATCGGTTCAACAGCCTATTGATCATACAAAATAGTTTCGCGTTTGTGAAATGGGCAAATGTGTGTCACCAATAATAATCATTTTTTCTTGTTGATCCCGTGTGGGAAATTTTTTGACTGACTAAGTAAGGTATCCCGTGTGCAAATAAAGTGATCAATAGTCACTCAACTGTTTATACCTGTATGTAGTGATCTAAAACTGGCTAAGTTGGTTAAAATCATGTGTTTTGTATGGAGACAATCACTAGGTGTATCACTACATACGGTTACATACAACTGAGTGGCCGTTAGTCATTTTATTTGCACACGGGATTCCTTACGTTGCATTTGCTCCGACATGATGATGGCAAGTGCAGAATAAGCGGTGAAATCTATTAATTGGAACTGCAATAAAATAATATCAAATAATGTAAGCAATTTTACTAATAAAGTAAAGGTGAATTCATAAATTTAAGCGCATTTTTTAAACTATAACGATCAATCATCAGTCATGATGTAATTTATTGCTTTAGAAGGCGAGATAGATTAAATATCGCAAGAAAGAAAACTGAAAAAGAACATGTAAATTTAAAGTTATAAATTTAACTTTTTATGTTTGATTTCAACAAAAAAGACATTTGGCGAATAAATAGATATCCTAACAACTAAGTGAATGTTCATTGATTCAGATTGGTTACCACCTAAAAACGAACACCTCTGTGTAGTATTCGGATTGTTTGCTCGTAGTATTCGGATGACCGAATTAAGCAAATAAAGCATTTGAATCGTTGTCGATTCAAAAAATTGTAGAGTCAATAAGTAGCGCTCTCTTTGGGAATTTGCGTAAATTATATCAATTAATTTATCGATAATGTAAAGACTTGAAGAAAAAGAAAAAGAAATATTCTTATGGCATCACTTCCACTAGCTGTTTGTAGAGTAACAGATGAAGATATATTTAAAGTTATTCTCCAAATGAACAAACGCACACATTCTCGCAATTCAACATGCATATTGTGTACAAAAATGAAAATAAGCTCAAATTCTTATAAGGCTCGACCAAAGACAAAACTCCACCAACAAAAAAATCGGGCGTATACAGTATTCATTGTTGTGAGTGTAATAAAGAGTATGTCGGCCAAACCAAACGACCGATAGAAGTAAGATACGGCGAACACACGTACTGCACCAACACAGGAGCAGCGTATCGGTCAGCTGTTGCTTTACACTCTTTAGAAGAAGAACATTTGAGTGGTCCGCGTAATTTGAGACTATTGAAACAAGTGAACGACGGTCGACGTTTAGACGCATGCGAAAGCATATTCATAAGAAAGAGCAAAGACAATATGAACCTTGACGAAGGCAATATCGACTCTGCGCTATTCGATTTGCTTTAATTATGTGTTTGTGTGACGTGCAAATTTGTGTTTGATTTGCTGACATTGCGGAACGGAGATTGCTTTCGTTGAAAAATTTTTTTGTGGTAGTTTGCAAGTTTTTATTTGAACTACAAATGAAATTATGACTATTTTGATCGAAAAAAATTTTGTGGAGTCAAGTTCGTCTTATTTTATTTAAATGTTCTGGACTTCACGGTGTTCAACACCAAAACAATACTGAATGCATTGTAATGTTTGGATTCTTAACGCATAGCTAATTCAAGCGACAACAATATTTCACGTACACAAAACAAATCACCGGTTTCTAATTGGTGACTTGTCCACAGATCAACACATAACCAGAACTTACATTGATTACTCTTCTTTGAAAAAGCATTTATCGTCGCGTATGTGAAAAGGCTTACCACTCAAATCTACAAGCACCATGAAGTGTTGAACGTTTCTATTGTCAATAAATAATAGTGAGTGTGAGCCATGGACTTTGCTGAAGAAAAAACTTCTTTTATCTTGTGATGAAATAGGTATGATTAGCATTAGGAAAGCAGACAACCTTCTGGGTCCACTTTTGCTATTTGAATCACTAATATCTTTGCAGCCGATTTCTTCATATTATTTTATGCAACGTTTTTTTTCTCAACAAGATTAGTTTTATCGCTCAGAAATATTATTAGCGAATTTGTGCAGAGTATGAATTGTCGCTCAATTCGCGAATCGATGCGAAACAGATGTATCCAGTTTGATGTCACTATAGATGATTTTAATTTAATTTGATCTATTTTAGGTGCGAAGCAAATTTTATTCTCATCGTAGACAGAAGCAGCGAATATCGGAAGCTGAATAATAAGAAGGAGATAATTTGTGGGTTAAAAATTGATTGTAATGGAGTATGGTTCCAAACATTTTCAATTTAATGCCATTCAAAATCTATGCTATACAGTTGTTTCTATGCTACTCTTTCGTTTACGTCAAGTTCTTCTACTGGTTCTATTCCATCATTCCATTGGTTGGTTCTTATGAATAAATTAGCAATCGTTGGTCTTGATGCACGTTATGTACGGTGGCGTTGAACATTCGCACTTCAAACACTTGTCTACACTTTTAAGTTTTTCACCGTGTTTCAATGTAAGATCACCAAATTTGCAATTCGCCGTTGCGTCGGCGGTGGTCGTCGTTTCGATGGTATCATCTTTTGAAGCTATTTAGAAAATAATTGAGTACAAAGAGTTGTGATCAGTAGAATTTGATTTTGATGAGTAAAATTACTTGGAACAAATTCAATCTTCTTATGTTGAAAATCGATTCAATTTAAACTTACGGCACTTATATTCGATTGGGCAGCAGGTTGGTGTTTTGTAGTAGACTGGAACACAGCCGGCTTTGATTTCTGTCAATTTGAGTTCGATACCACAGTTGATCTTCACACAGTTGGGATTATCGGCAAATGAAGTGTTATTATTGAAATTCTCAGCACAAAAACATTTATAGCACGAATCATCATCAGGGTAGATTTGTTCGCCGACGCGATAAGATCTTCCATCCACTTCACATGTATTCATTGAAGTAATTCGGGCTTCGTCTGTTCAAAAAAAAGCGAACGACGACACTTTTGGGTAATAATATTATTATAAGACAATCAATTTGACAAAATCTTACCGCAAATTTCGCCAACTCGGCAACATTGATGAACATTATTGTATTGTGATATGCAAGACCAATTTCTACCACCGAAATGTTCCGGGCATTCAACATTGGCGCACACAACACTTGCCGCTTCATCCCCATTTTTCACACATTTGCAGGCTGCTCTGCAATCTGGTACAATGTCTGCCGGTACATCATCACCCATGTTGAATGTTTGTCCTTTCAAATAGCATTTGTCGGTTGCGTACGATGTAACATCTGGGCATTCAAATCTGTTTATAAAAACTTATTAAGTCATCTTGTGTGTACACTGCTCACCAACATCAACACAATTGACCACAACTGATACACAACGGTTAGCATCACTGGATCATGCAAATGACGATTCAATGAAAAGCGGCTCACCTTGTGGCACTAATAACACTGCTCGATCCGTCAATTTCTTTACAACCGATTTCTTCATATATTTTCGGCAATACTTTATTAGCGGCTGCGGTTTTATCACCCAAAATTGCGATTAAAACAAAACAACCAACGATCAACACAATTTTTGAATTCATCTTGATGTTCATTCACACTAAACAAGTCAAAATACAGTGCTCCGTAGTAGATGTGTCCAGTTCGACAACTAACTCAATACTAAAAGTTTCGTCCATGCGCTATTTCAATTTATTTTGTTGCTGCTGTCGCTGCTGTCGCTGTTGCTGTTGTGATTGCGAAGCAGTTGAACAATACAATTGCGCTGTTGTTTACACTCATATGTATTTGGTTTCCTTTACATTTTGCCGCGTCTTCAATCACTTCCAATGTTTGCGTTTACTTGTGCAAATAATGCAGCTCAGCATTCTAGGGTTCAACGTGTCAATGTATGCAAAAAGATGAAATCCAGCACAAGGATGGTAGTTATCGTGAACCATTGCCATTGTGTATTTTTTTTGTCTTTGTAATTAAAAATAAAGCATACGTACGACCCAATACGGGTTATGCATAATCTGTTGAATTTTCGGATGAAAATCGTTGTTAAGTGTTACGAAATACTTGACCCAAATTTGAATCGGAAAATCAGTTGAAATTTGTGTACTTTCTTTTTAAGGTTACAGCAGATTTGATATGTATCAAAGTAAACATTTCCCATACATTAGGCTGTCGTTGAAGAGGATCGACCCTGCAATCATTTTTGAACAAATGGTTGATTCATAATATTTGACGGGCTTCCAGAAACAAGACCACACACCCGATTGATTGTAATGTAATTAGTTATAGTCGTTAAAATGGGTCTTGTGGATCATTTGACCTATCGCCGAAGGTGACATTTGTCCACTTTTTTCAGCTTCTGGATCATCAGCGCACGCGAGAATGTGTGAATTTCTTTCATCTTTGAATTGATAATACACCAATCCGTTGTTTGTCCATGCATCAAGCGTTTGCACCGTTCACATCACAAATAATGGTGTAAACAATAGTCTAAGCATGGCGCGTATAAGTGATGAGGGAAAACCCATCGAAAACGTCAACATAAAAATGTAAATATTGTAACAACACCATAAATATGGCATTTGTAATATTTGCTCCCATCTATTGGTCATGAAAATCTAGCGAATAAGCAAGCTATAGTAATCGAAGCAAATATTGAAGTTGTTGCTAACTTTCCTATATAGTTGAGCGGCAATGTAGCGATCGCACGTAGTACTTTTTATTGAATTCTATATGGTGAACAAAACAAAAATGTTCATCACTTCTGTTTTATATATTTTCTGATGATGTGCACATGACCTTCTCAACATTCAAATGCGCATTGGCGGCACGAACGTGCGAATGATGAAATCAATTGATTTATATATTTTTATCTGAATTCTTCGAAATCAGATGTGACAGACTGACCGTCGCTCAGATTAAACTGTAAACGATTTTGACGACCGGTTTTTATTAGCCGCTACCGAAAAAAGAGACGACTACAATCAATTTCATTTTCAACATCTCCAAAACAATTACATGCAGAGTCGTTATAATGAACGCTGTTTTGTTCGCACAAACAAAACGTAAAATGAAACGTATGAAACTTTTCCGTTTAACCATATCACTTGATTGACGACAACAATTAGGCTTCTGTAGTTATACGTTGCTTGTTCAATATAACTTGAACTTACCGCATCCTATATCCTATACTGACGTACGTTTATCTTCACTTTTACTCGCAATATTCCATTATTTTGGTTTCGGTTTTTTACTTGGAGCATGCGTTCTCATTCAATCCGCTATTCAAAAGTTATCTTGCAACAATGTTTTAGCGTCGATAAATTAGGCATTGAGTTATTATCATGTGAATCATTCAATCAACCAAATTAAAAGACACGTAATCAAATTCTTCACCAAATTTACTACCGATTGCTATTTAAAGCGGCAACCGTTGTGAAATTACTGCGGAAATCGTGCCGGCTCCGAATATTGATAAGCAAATTGAATGCCGGACTTTTTTGAATTTTCAATTATAGATACCAAATCTAGTGACGTGCAGTGTGCACTGTGCACACGTGCATGGTAATTAAATATTCTATCGCCTTGCTGACAATTTTTAAATGTAGGCGCACCAATAACAATTAAAATGATTTAAAATCATGACAAATATCAAATGTCGAACATGCTACAACTTTATTCTTGCACTTCCATAGCTTTGAATTGAATTGAGTTTTTGTTTCCTCTGAATTGAATTGAGTTTTTTATATTCAATATTTCAATAAGTATTGGTTTTGCACGGATGGGTATTCTCGACGAGCGTACATAGTGAATTGGCGTTGCACAGATCCAATTTTGTCACTGTGGATTTTGTGGAATGGAAGCCATACCATGGCGCAGTAATCGAGGTGAGATTGAACCAATGCAAAATACAGCGATTTTAGTGTGGTAACGTCGGTCATATCGTGACAGAAACGTTTGACAAAGCCAAGTGCAGCCGTTGCCTTTGAAGTGACCATGTCAATATGTTTGGCAAATGATAGTTTTCTGTCAATTAGAACACCCAAGTCCTTGTGTTCAGTCACTTTGTCGAAGGTGTGGTCGCCATAGGTGTAGCTTGTTTCCAAATGCTGACGTTTCTTGTAGATAGATAGCACTGCACATTTTTTTAGGTTAAGGTGCAGCAAATTCACATCACACCAGTGTTTAAGTTTGTCGATAGCTTGTTGCAGTATCTCCGAATCATGCTGAGACTTGATGATTTTGGCAATTTTGATATCATCAGCAAACAGTAATATCATGATGTCTGGGGGCATTTGATCCACGATGTCGTTGATGAATAGCAGGAACAGTGTTGGTCCAAGGTGGCTCCCCTGTGGGACACCCGACGACGCTGTAAAATCATCCGACTCACTTGCTCCGTGCTTGACAAATTGAATACGCTTTTCCAGGTACGACTTAAGCCATGCCAGCAAGTTTTGAGGTAGATTGAATGACCTCAGTTTTTGAATCAAAATGTTGTGGTCAACTCGATCGAAGGCTTTCGTAAAGTCCGTGTACAGGACATCAACTTGAGCTCCAATGTTCAGGCCAGAAATGTTGGTATTACTTGAACTTGAATCTAATCAGTAAATGAAAACTTGAAATTATTCCTATCTGATTATTAAACACATTGGAAAAACTTTAACAGGTCATACTAAATAAAGATATTGAGGAGGTGCATTACATTTTGTGCTTGATTTTTTAATTCTGTAAATGGCATTTGCCAGCACAAATTGAGCACAAATTTCCCAGCCTAGTGGCGATACAAAAAAAATCGATTTTAAGGTACTTCACCTGTAAAGTGCCCAAAATCGAGCTTTTCAAAAAAGTCGACGATTAGTGCTCGGCCCCCAGACGAGATTTTTCCAATCTGAAAAAAGCATTTGCCAGCACAAATTGAGCACAAATTTCTCAGCCTAGTGGCGATACAAAAAAGTCTCATTTTCGGGTAGCTCCCCTGTAAAAGTGCCAAAAATCGACTTTTTCACATTTTTCAATTTGTGCTAGCTTCCCAGGCCAGCACAAATTAAACGGATGGTACCATTGGTCAGCACAAATTGAGCACAAATTATTGGCACCGGTCTCAGCCCAGCACAAATTGTGGGGGGCAGCGTAATGTACCTGATTATGGCTATGGTCCTATGACCATTTCGGCTCCCTGTATTTCGGCCGCCTAACGTTCAGCCTCCAATGGAAATACTTTTCAGCCGCCGCGGCTCAAAGTGAATGACTTTCAGCCGCCGCAAAAAGTTAATTTGAGCCGCCGCAGCTGAAATGAAATTTTAATATTTTTTCAGCCGCCGACGAAAATGCTTCTTGGCCGCCGCGGCTGAAAGTAAAATCCGTGAATCACTTACAGCCGCCATAAAAAATCATTTTTAGGCCGCCGTGCCCGAAAGGTATTTTTTGCAGCGGCTGAAAGTAATTCGCGGATATTTACTCTTAGCCGCCGCGGCCCAAAGCACATTGTCTGAACATTTCTCAAAAATATTTTTTTTCGATCGTCTACGCTTTCCTAATCATCTTATCGCCAGGAAACCCCACTTTTATTTTATTTCAAACTATGAAAATGGTACGGTGAACAACGGTGAGGAGTTCCACAGGACCTTCACTCGCGCGCGCTCGTTTGGTCCTGTGGAACTCGGACTGTTGCAGAAGGTACACTACGGGACTACGTGACATTCAGTTGATCACACAAAGTACACGAAGTACACGAATTCACATTGTTTTTCTTTTCACACAGAAAAAAAAAAAATTATTTAAAAATTATTCATCTATCATTAAAAAAAAAATAATTTGTTGTTCATTCATTTTTTTTTCATTGTGTTATTTTTTTCTTCCATTCGCATGCCTTTTGCGCTGTTCTAGCTTTCTAGCTTATGTTCCATCTGTGGAACAAAACATTGTTTGTTCCCAATGTGGTACAAAAGCTACAACATCGCACATTTACTTAATTTGTACTTTGACAGCGTTTGACAGAACAGAACCGGCATGAACGACGCCATATTTTGACATTTAGTTTATTCCTATGTTTACCGATATTGACGTGTGCCAGAGATGCAATGAATTTTTTGCCGATTTTGGCATAAAATAAATAAATTTTCGCACAAAATAAATACAATTTTCTGTTGAACGTAAGTGACGTTAAATTCCAGTGGACAAAAAGTGACAAAAAGCGTGAAAAAGTGTATGTGAGTTCAAATGCGTGACAACAATTTTGGCCGAGCATTGGTGATAAGCGGTGATTAGTGGTTTCGAGTGGTTTCGTATCATGACAAATCAATCACGACGTAAACCGCCAGCACCAATCGTCCAAAAAGAACCGGAGCCCGAAATGGATCTAGTCGAAGCTGTAACTTATTTGGCCAACAAAATCGACTCTTAAAGCCATTTCATTTGTTCCCGTGTGTTACTCTTCTCCATCGTATATATGATATAGTATTCTCATTTGTTTCTTAGTTTCTCGATAGAAAAATTGCAGATTGGATTTGATTAAGTAAAAAAATAAACAATTTTGCACAAATATATTAATACGAGAATTCGTTCAATAAATGCCCGTTTATATCAAATAACTACGTGACTCTACGTAGTGGCAGTACTTAACCATAGTTCTGTACACTGTATACAGAAAATCCAGACGGCGTAAACAGTACTGATTTCTAGGTGCACCGGTACGGTGGAACTCCTCACCGTTGTTCACCGTACTATTTTTTATTTCAATATCAAAATTCGATATAGTATTAAATCGTGCACACTCTCCTCAACGTTCTGTTGACAAACCACTTTTATTTTATTCCGAGCTGCGAAAAAAATGGTACGGTGACAACGGTAAGGTGCTCCTCGCGCGCGCGCTCGTTCAGTCCTGTGGAGCACCTCACCGTTGTTCACCGTACCATTTTTTGCAGTGCAAAAGTAATTTGCGGATATTTACATTCATCGGCGGCTGAAAGTGATTCATCAATATTTCCTGTTAGCCGCGTGGCTCAAAGTGATTTTGATTGGCGGTTGAAAATGCATTCTACATGCAGCGGCTCAACGAGCGTTCTATAAAATACAATTCAGCCGCCAACGAAATCACATTTTAGCTGCCGCGGCTCAACGAAAATCTCACCAAATACAATTCAGCCGCGACTGAAAATAACTTTCGGCCGCATCGATTTTTGGTTGGCGGCCGAACGAAATTCGTGAAAAATCACTTTGAGCCGTGGCGGTCGAAAGGTTTTTGCTTCGGCGGCTGAACGGTAGGCGGCGGAAATACAAAACGCCACCATTTTAAATTATGGCCTTATACCTAATGGACTTATGACATACACCCCAAAAATAAAAGTCTACATTTAGGCGGAATTTCGTCTGGTAGAGGCGCCCAGTTTTATATTTCACCTAACAAATGGAGATTCAGGCGAAATTGTGGCTAGATTATGGGAGAGTTTTGCTTGCAGCTCAAATTACTAGCAGAAATATCGACTGAATGCATCTTTAGCTGAAAAAAATGCCTAGATCTAGACTATAGATTGTACACACAACATTTAGACAAAAACACAATCGAAGCGATCTGTACAATGTGAAGGAAAATAATTCATTGTATCGCGAATATACATAGATGATAGTTGAAGTGATACATTTTTCGGTTTGTTACTACAAACAACTGTTCGATAAGAGACCGAATTTTATCCAAACAGTGGGAGAAACCGAAGTGATGTGACAAAAAGTGTAAACAATAGTTGACACCACAATTGAAATCATTTCAAGTGGCGTATTTACACTTCAATTTAGTTGGTCATGAATGAAGTAATAGTCAAGTCAATTGATGAATGCTTAGGTTGAACGTGCTGCAAAATGAATTACAATGTTTACATGAGCGTGATGAAATTTAAGGCCAAATGTAAAATATTCACAACTTCCGTTTTTAATTAAGCGCGGTGATTCACAAACGTTTGGTTGAATTCCAAATTTGAAAATGAAATTGTTTTATACATACGTAACCTTTTACTTTTCCGTACACAACGTGTCAAGGGAAAGTATAGGAATTGGTCCCGAAAACTTTTTTTCGCAAAATTGGTTTAGATCATCATAAAAACTCATGAAACGCGTAGAAAACCACCTTTTGAGACACTTTTCCGTTCGTGTGCCGTCGTCGTTGTCGTCGTTGTTGTCATTGTCGTCGTCGTTGGTGTGTGTTAACACGATAACTCAAAAAATAATTGAGATAATCAAAATCTGGAAACGCCAAAAGTTTTGTATTCGAAAAACTTAGTTTAAGTTCGAAGATGAGCCATTTTCGATTTGATCCTGGGGTACTTGCCCTAAGAAAAACCTCAAAAAATTGACACTTTTGTATGGGAGGTACCTGTAAATCGACTCCGATTGGCTTCAAACTTTCTGGGATTTCAAGATTCTGAAAGTTTGAAACCAATCGGAATCAATTTACGGGTACCTCCCATACAAAAGTTTTGAAATTTTGACTAAAATTACCGATTTTTGGACAATTTTGTATGGGAGGTACCCGTTAATCGATTCTGATTGGCTTCAAACTTTCTGACGTTTCATTTTTTGGAGAAAAAATAAGATTCTGAAAGTTTCATGTTGATCGCATGTGCAGAAGTTTGGTTTTTGGACCTCAATTTTTTCCAAGAAAATTTCGACAAAAATTGAGGACAAAAAATCAAACTTCTGCAAATGCCATCAACATGAAACTTTCAGAATCTTATTTTTTTCTCCAAAAAATGAAACCTCAGAAAGTTTGAAGCCAATAGGAATCGATTTACGGGTACCTCTCATACAAAATTGTCGAAGTTTTAGTTAAAGTGACCGATTCTTCACTTTATTTTTATTATTATATTTTCGCTGCCTTTATTTCTAGAAAATTCACAAAAAATAACCAAAAGTACCTACGGACAACGCAGGCCAACGGTACGGAAAAGTTCGGGATTACCAATGTAATTCTTTTTATTTCAACATTCAAATGTGCATTAACGTGTGCCAATGATACAATCAATTGATTGAATTTTTTTCAAAATCTGATGAGGCAATTAGTTGAAAAACCAAACGTATGTAACCGGTTTAAGTGGCAATAAATTCAATATTTCATCTTCATAAACGTCTCCGGGGCAAAATAAGGATAAGAGGAAAGTTTTCAATTTGATCATAACAATTTAATGATGACCACATTAGCGACTATCAAAACAATATTTATAGGATACTATACAATACACACTGTTATATATTATATAAATCATTAAGTTAAAACTTATCGCAACTTTGAATACTTTTGCCTAACATTTATCATGATTTTTTATTAAATTCATAACTATCCCTGTGCTTTGATTGCATCAAAGTTTTTCTCTTTTGAATTGTTCAATCAATTGGTTAAACGTAAGTTTTTCACTTTGAGAACGTGTTGACAATTGCTGATAAACTTGCTCAAGTCCCGGACGATATGGAATCGGCCAAATACGAAATTACTTGAGCGTAATAACGTTCATTCTTGGGCAAACGAATCTATGATAGCTAGTACACTGGTTGATGTTCCAATGATGAGTGCACACAAACCAAAAAAGCCAATTATTGCATTTTTTGCGATCATTGTCGCTCTGGCCACGCCAGTTTTCTCTTTCAAGAACACACAAGTTTCGATTAGCGCTGGGAACGCGAGCCCAAGCATCGACAAACAGAAGGCGCCAAACAACGAGATAAACAAGTCCAATTTTGGAATTGCGACAGCCAACAGAACTGAAACAAGAATGAATAATTATAATTAGTCCAAATTGGACCCGGAGGGAAGTTGATAGAATTTCGTCATTCTTACAAGTAATCAGAACAAGCACAGTGCGCACAACATACTCCCACAACAGTTTGTAGCGATCGTTTGTGATTATGTTAACTACGTATTTGTTCCACGTTAAATCGATTGCAACATAGCATGCTACGCCATGGGTAATAAATATACCTGTGAATAATTTGATTTGAGGAATAATAATTTTGTTTATATCATTTGTCTTATTTGTTTCATCAATACTAGAAGTAAATATTTACCAAAGGCTAGCATTCCTTTCACGGATTGGGCAAGGATCACATCAATATCACTATTTGTCTCCAGGTTCAGTGTGATTGATGCTTCCACAGCATCACCATATTTCAAGTAGCCAAAGAGACCCATTCCAATGTACATGATAACGATGATTGCAAAGGCTCTGTTAAGCACGCCCGTCAGGCCAACAAAAGATTTCGGTGTTTTCATTTCATTTTCCAATGGCATTATCACACCAATTGCTTCCATTGAAAACAAAACGGTGCCGAAGAACAATGGGAATTCGGAAATGGGGCCTACGGGCCTTCGACCTTCAAGAGAGATCGGTTCACGGAACATAAAATAACATATTATAACGAATGACAGAATGGTAATTGCGTTTGCAATCGTCGAGAACGGTGCTAAATACTTCAAATTTCGCACCTAAGATGTAAACATGAACGCAAATTTGTTAACGTTATTTTTTCCAAGGAATATTAAAATATAAATGTTATACTCATTTACTATTTAACATTTAACAACATACCCAGTTTATAAAGATGATGGGCAATAATACCATCAACATATAAATACGTACGTCGGTGTTACTTTGCGTAAAATGGTCAACGATCGATTTGATATTGTCGCCGATGAACACGATGTAAACGCAGCAAATGCCCAATTGATACACCAAAATGAAGAAATTCGTTACGTGCCTATCAGGTGGATGGAAAAGAAGGGACATCATTCAAACAGTGTGTTTTGAACTAAAAATCTGTTAAATCTTACACAATGTACGGGGCGAATCGGTGAAGCCACTTTGGTCCTTCAAGCAACGCATTTGACATGATATTTGGATAATCCATGCATGGTACCTTATTTCGTTTGCAGAGTTCATAGTGCACTTTTAGTAATATCTGAATACAATAAATTGCAACCAATCCTAACACAACGGTTGAAATTGAGCCAAGAAGCCAACCGGCATGATAAAATGCTTTTGGTATCGCAAGTATTCCTAATAATATGATATAAACAATTACAATCCATCCGAAATACAACTAAAAGTTGTCCATTTCAAAACATACCAGTGCCAAATGAACTCTTAAGCAAATGGATGATTGTGTCGGTGTTTCTGAAAAAAAGGAATACACATTTAACATTGAAAAACTAATGGCAGGTGCATTTTTTTTTTGAAATTACGATATTGGATGCTCGACTTTTCGGTGCATATATGGATCATAGTCTTCATCTTTGGGTGGTTTCTCCGCCACTTCTATATTCATCAATTCATTTTTGTGATAATTGTCGATAAGATTTAACCTGAAATATGAAAAAAATGTAAAAGTCGCATGAAATAAAAAAATTCAAACTGAATCGATTCGAAATAGTTTACCTTTTCCCGTTATCATCCAGGAAAGCGATATTACCGTAACCGTCCAAGCTCATTTTTGACCGAAGGGTCGTTTATCAAATTTAATAAAGTTGAAGTCTTCTGAAATGCCCACAAAGTCTACGTTCAATTATTTTACATAAATTAAATTCAAGTGTCATAAATTTTAAGGAAATTCATGGTCATCTATTGATCAGCACATAAATATGTTTATCGGTTGAAATCTACCTACTTATACCTTATGATAAATTGTCACTGGACAGAGTCCATATGAAAATAGAATTAAATTTTATTGCATTGATATTATTCTGTATTCGATTGATTATTGTAGTTTGAATTGGATCTAAAATCCATTACAAAGTTTATGTTACCGTTGCGTAAGTCTGGACTGAATAAAATCAATTTAATATTTATCTTTTCAAAACGAAGTATAAAAAAGTTCCAAGAAATACCACAAAAATCGGAATTCATCGGATACTTGATGCGCTGTGTCTTTTCTACACAATTGTTAAGCCCTAGGTTTAGCTGCGAGCTCATTATATAGCTTTGTTTTCATTTCGATATTGAAAAGGCGCAATTTTATCTTGACACACAGAGAAACTCGAGTGTATAACAACAATCAGTGTCCGTGGCAATGAAAAAACAAAAAACTCAGCAATAAAACACATACACACATTACTTCCCAAGTGCGAACGCTACGTCTTTTAAAAGACGTGGTTCATGTATTCACCCCTTTCTCACGTCTTCTATATAAATACCACACGAAAGACGTACGTCTTCTGTGCAGTGATAAATGGTATAGCTGAAATTTCCCTCATGCCATTCTCGCGTATCCTGTATACCATTGCACAGAAAATGCACGTCTTTCAGACAGAAAATTGAATAGAAGACGTGAGAAATGCGTGAATACGTGAACCACGTCTTTTAAAAGACGTAGCGTTCGCAATTGGGTTATGATGCCGTGCAAATTGTTTTAAATGAAATGAAGATTGGTAATTACATGAAAGCACCGCTCATTCAATGATTTACAATCAAAAGTCATTAAGAGTGAAATTGCTAATTGTCACTGGTTCATTAAAAATGGAATAAAAAATGCGTGAGATCATAAGATTTTGCTTCCTATTTGTATTTCCACCTTTAATTTTTTTTTATCAATTTCATGATTTACACTTAATTCGTGAAAAACAAATTGTAAAAAGGGTGAATGGGATATTTCGCTTCGGTCTTTTCGTTGAAATTTATGCATTTTTTCCGTCTTTTGTAGAGAGAAAATAAGTTAAAATGGATTGAATGAGACGATTTCATTCGGGATCAAGCTATTTAAAACATGTTTTTCAATGGAATGTTTTGATCGGGATATAATCAAAATTCATCACTTGATTCCTGCTTGCACCGGTTGGCCCAAAACATGTACACAACTCGTAATGTGATTTTTGAATTTGGCAGGTAATGTGGCGGTAGATTTCAAGCGAAAATAATATTCGTTGATTGTTTGACACCCTGTTTATCGTTTGGATGTCAATAATCTAGCACCTTAATGACTTGGTGATTTGATTTGTTATCTATATAAGTACCAGGTTTTATAATTGCTACTCAGATCGCTTGGATGATAAATTAAGGCAAACCCACTTTATTAATAATTTGTATTTTCATGTGAAGCGTCAATAATTTCCCACAATTGCTACGGTAAAAACGTGTCTTCCAAATATGTTCAATGAAAAAAAAAATAATACAGCGATATGCCAAGATGTCTTTCAGCGTTTTTCGAGAAAAGATGAATTCGGCACAAATCTTGCTGAAATGTTTGTACGATTCGAACTGATTTCTGTTGTTTATCTTTATTTTATTCTATTCTTGTAATTCTGCTAAACACGCAGGTGTTAGTTATTTATGTGTATGGGTCTTTTTTCTTGGTGGTTGCTTCGAAATAGATACAACGCGCGCACCAGTGAACTGATTAGAACAATTGATTCGAAAATACGGCCTGTTGAAGCAGAAAAATGGTTTTATTATTGTAAACGATTTTTTTTTTCAAAAACACTTGTTTACACTAACTCACACGTAACGAATTGATTGAAGCTGATTGAACCCATTTATCGAGCAATGGAACTGATTGAAATCAAATATAAGTAATACAAAGTGTTCTTTGCGATTCTCTTCAATCGCGCGCACGGGGTCAAGGCTTCTTTTCTTCTTTTCTCTCTGGCATGCATTCACGTTCGGTGCATGAAATGCAATTGGACGCCCAATACAGTCACCAGGCACACATACCCATACAAACGATCTTGACTTTGTTTTAATTATTTTCTATCATTTCCTTATGGTGTGAAATACGTCTTATTTCCTGTTGATGCGAACTGCATTCCAGGAAATATCTTGATTGGAAGTAAAGCGCATTTCGTTTTCTAACCTAAACGAGTTATTTTAGGGAGTGATGTATGCATTGATTTCAATGTTCAATTATTTTTCAATTTACTCTAATGGACAATGCTTCGCAGTACTTCTAAATGTATTTTAGCGCGTCGCATGCCAAAAAGAAAAACAATTTTATTAGAAAAAACTGTGACGTATTGTAACAACACTGTTGTTTGTGCCAAAAGTGAGAGAAAGCATAGAACACAGCTTTATTTATTCATTTTGGTCTTTGTGCAGTTCAGTTTATTTAATGTTCACTTCAGTTAGAAGAGATTCATTTAGAAACATATCGATGGTTTGATTCATCCGTATCAAAGCTTATTCAAAACGTTTAACAATCTTCGATTGAAATTCAGAAATGGTGTATCTTAAATCAACAATTAGTTCAAAAAGTGTTGCTGGCTTATTATTTGTGTTTGGTTCGTTTTAATCCTTCACTTCTCTATCGAGTATGTCAATTTTGTGTCAAAAATTAAAAATCGCGACATTTGTAAATCGATTATACACCAAATGACATGCTTCAATTGTGAAAACTATAACGTAAACGTTTGATTTAATGCTATAATTAGACTTTGATTTACAATTTATGATTAGGAACAGACGTTAGATTTGTTTAGAAAAGAACTGAAATCCGAAATCAAATTGGTCGTTATTTGTGTAAAATTAACGATGATTCGAACAGGGCTCATTAAAACAGGCATAAAGCCAAACTTGTGAAGCGTTGATGGTAATTGAAATGCACACAGTAACCAACACCTTGAAAATGAATTTAGAAAAAAACACGGTCTTATTTTCTGAGAATTTAAACGGCAGTCTCACGAAATACCGTTTCTTTTTTCTGGCTGTATTGAGCCAAACGACAGATATTGTTTTATTCTATTTTTCAAATATTATTTAAAGATAAACAAAAACACTCTCTTACTTCTATTCTTCTCGACGTTTCTTATGTTTTGCGAACCTGCATTAAAATAATCAAAGGAAAAACCGCTGAGTTTCACGTAAGAATAATGTTTGAAATGAAATGGTGATTACGGCTATGATCAACCGTCTATTTTGAACAAACCGATTTATTTGAATTTGACTTGTATGTTCTTCAATAATGTAGTGTCGTCATTGGTGTGTGTGCAACATGCATGTTTGTGTGTATATATATAAGTGTGTGAGTATTGGTCTCATTTTCGTTCCCAATCAACAACAAACGGTGTTAGTTTGTCGTCTATGGCCCGATTCTTTTTTATTTCGGTATATTTAATTTTTTGTTGTTGAATTTTGTGACGTGCGATCAATATCAAAATGCCTCAATAAAACTTGTTTCACAGTCAATTTTTTTTCTTTTTCCCTCTTTCGTTCAGATAATACTTGTGTCTACCCATTAAAGAATACATTACGTATACAGTGAATTTTGTAGGCGCGATCGTCTGCCACTTTGCCATTCATTTGCAATTCAGCTAACTAGTAATGTTAATTCATCCATTGACTGCAAATGCAAATTCGACAGTGTGTGAATTCTTTTGTGCAGATTTTCAAATACTGGTCTACGTTTGTTGTTATCGTTGTCACTGAATAAATTACTGTATTTTATCATTTGGCGACCATCACAATATCTACAATATGTTTTTATCTCGAATCAAATCTCGGCAGCGGATATTCATTCAACCAGTCAAATGTCAATGTTCAATTCGCTGTTTCACTGCAATGATAAGAACTAGCACAGACAAACCGTATATGCATGCTTCAAATGAACAGGTATTTATATTTGCCCACACTCAAGCAAATGGATAAATCGATGTGATAATCCGCAAGAGACGATAGGAATTGTTGTTATTTGGAATGTTTCGTTGATGACAAAAAAACTTGAATGATGTTTACTTAAACTTATCGTAAAATTCCATTGATGATGGTAAATTATCTTTATTGTCGCATTAACTCGCTCTGATTTATGAATTCTATAGTTCTTAAAACATGAAATTATCTGAGAGTAAACATGTTCATTTTTTGGTAAAAGATTCGATTATCGCCAATACACTGGTTGATGTGCCAATGATGAGTGCACACAAACCAAAAATAGAGATTATCGTATTTTTGATTATCATCATGGTTCTCGCTGTACCAGATTTCTCTTTCAAGAACACAAGCGTTTCGATGAGAGCTGGAAATGCAAGTCCAAGCGTTGACAAACAAAATGCACCGAACAACGAGATAAACAGGTCCAATTTTGGAATAGCAACAGCCAACAGAACTGAAACGAAGAGCATCAAAAATGATAGAGTTTTCACATTTTAAAGGGTAGATCGAAAGATGTTGGGTATTCTTACAAGTAATGAGAACGATCACAGTGCGCACAACATACTCCCACAACAATTTGTGGCGATCATTCGAAATTCGGTCCACAATATACTTATTCCAAGTGATGTCAATAGCAACATAGCATGCTATTCCGTGGGTAATGAAAATACCTGTGAAAAATTTGAGTGCGATACCACCTTTATACCATTTGTGTTGTTTATTTCTCCTATACTCAAAGTAATTATTTACCAAAGGCTAGCATTGCTTTCACGGATTGGGCAAGTCTATGTGTATAAAATGATTTGATTTCATAAAAAAATTCTTTAAGTTTTTCTTTGTTCCAACTTACATGTTGTCTATCTGATCGTTGATTTCCAAGTTAAGGGTTATTGATTCGCGAATGACATCACCATATTTAAGGTAGCCAAAGAGACCCATTCCAATGTACAGAATAACAATAACGGCAAATGCTCGACTCAGAACACCGGTAACTCCAACATATGATCGCGGTGTTCGCATTTCATTTTCCAATGGCATAATCTGCGATCAATAATATGAAATTATGTTTGAATGAAGACGATTTTCGGAAACCAAATTCACTTACAACTCCAACGGATTCAAGGGAAAATAAAACGGTTCCAATGAAAAATGGAATTTCACTCAATGGGCCGACCGGTCGTCGACCTTCTAACACTATAGGTTCGCGGAAAATGAAGTAGAAAATGACTGCAAACGAAATGACTGTCACGGAATTGGCCAGTGTGGAAAATGGCGCCAAATACTTTAAATTCCGTACCTAGAACAACAAATAAACAAATCCAACATAGAAAATATGTTACGGCTATTCTCTGCAAAGATAATGCTATAGGATATTTTTTTCAGTCAGATAAAATATCCGATGTTTTTCGCACGTTGTGTCAAGCGTAATGCAGGAAGTAGTACGAAGAGAGTTGAAAGAAGAAGTGAGCGAGACATGTACGTGCATCTACATACATCGTCGTTAGTGTGAAGAGAATAACGAAAAACAGCGATTCGGTGTGTTGAACTTTTCACACTAACGATGATAAGCGCGAACCTTGCATGAATAGGCCTTGCTCACTTCTTCTTTCAACTTGAAAAATATCGGATATTGTTATGCGAAATTGCTATACCATCTGAATGAAAATATCCCATAGTTCTCTGACTTTCTGTTTTGTGTTTTGTTTACTCACCCAATTGATAAAAATGATTGGTAAAAGAATCATCAACATAAATAATCGGATATCATTATCAGCTTGAGTGAAATAGTCGACAATGGATTTTATATTCCCCCCGATAAAAACAACGTAGATACAACACGAACCTAAAGGAAAGAAAAACAGTATAAAGAACACCGAAAGTCGCTACTGAAGGAATAGAACTACGCATTTATATTGTAAGGGAGAATCCACTCATTTGCGTCCTTCTTTCGTTGAACGGCGTATTTCTAATTCTAAATTTGATCAATTGGCTATTTACCTATCTGGTATGTCCAAAGGAATCCGTTTGTTATATGTCTATCAAATGGAATGAAATTGAGATAAAAGCCATGGAATCATATTGTGATTAAGTAAATGCTGGAATGTTAACGAAAAAAGTCTATTTCATTACACAACGAGTGATGCGTATCTGTGAAGCCATTGCGGTCCTTCGAGAAGAGCATTCTGTGCAATTGCTGGATAGTCCATGCTTGGAACTTTTCTTCTTTTGCACAGTTCATAGTGTGATGACAGTAAAATTTGCATCGAGTAAACCGCTATAAGACCAATCGCAACCTAAGTAAATGATTTGGGAAAACAGTCAGTTCCATTTTTGTGCGTATATATTCAATTTGGCTTGAATTTTAAACGTTTATTCGGTAAATTTCAACACAAACCGTTCCTATCGAGCCCAATAGCCACCCGGCATGATAAATAGCTTGAGGCATCGCCAAAATTCCTATGAATTGAATTGAAAACTACATACTGAATCTAAATAAGAAACCGTTGTTACATCTGATTCAAAAACCATACCTGTTCCCAAACTGCTTTTCAGCAAATGAATAATTGTTTCGGTGTTTCTGTGGAAAAAATAGGAACATAATAAGCAAACCAATCATTCCATTTCTAAAATTGAAAATAAACAATTCAAATCTGATTTCTTTTTTTTCTTCAAATTTTTACTTACGAGAGTGGATGCTCCACAGTTCGATGAAGATATGGATCATAATTTTCAACTTTTTGAATCTTGTCGGAGAGATCTATACTGTAAAGGTCTTCTTCTTTAACATTCTTAATGCCAGTTGTGCTGAAATTTAGAGAAAAATCACCCGTTTACAATTCAAATTAAAATTAATAATTTATGCACTCAAAATGAAACTCACTGTTTCCCCGAATCGTTCACATAGGTGAGATTAACGTGCCCTTTCGAATTCATGTTTCGTTTATCGCGGAAATTTTCCAATTTTTCTGTCTAAAATTACGAAAAATAATTAATGTTAAAAGAAATTACAGTCGTTCACATCAACGATGGATTGAATTTGAAATGAAAGTTTGGACGAATCTTGAATAAAAGTGGTAAGCGATTTTTTATGTTTATCGGCTACAGGCTTTGTTATGCGCTAAATCCATCACTCTGAGTAAATTCATGCGATAGATTTATGCGATAAATGTGATGCGCTCGCTTTGCGGTGAACGAGTTCTGTTGCTCTTCACTACCGCTTAGCGATGCGTTCACTGCAAAGCATGAACGTTCATGCGTGAACAACTGAAGAGCAATAGACTTCGTTCACCGCAAAGCGAGCGCATCACATTTATCGCATAAATCTATCGCATGAATTTATTCAGCGTGATGGATTTAGCGTATAACAAAGCCTGATCGGCTACACGCAGCAGATGTTGTGATTTTTTTTTTATAGAAGTATACTAAAAATATTAATCTAATTACATCAATTAACTTCAATCAACCTGAAAAAAGCGATTCGTTTACTGTGTTTAATTGCTTTATGATAATAATAATTTGCGAACCGTTTCGATTAATATACGGCCAAGGCTTGGCGATAGATAAAGTGTCATACGCTTTTGAGTTGAGTTTGGACTGAAGAGCAATTAAACTATTTGACCAATCAACGAAATCGCATGCGCGTAAGATTAGATTGGCTGACGATTTCATTTCATTTAATCAATTTCAAGATCGATTTCAGTTTGTCGAACTTTTTTCTCTTTCTCTTGCCATGAGCATTAGAAATATGTCTGAAAAAAAGTTGGCGTATAAATAATTCTCATTTCATTTTCAAACGTTCGATACCAATGCTCAAAAATCGATTCCGTGGTTACAAATTCAATGTTGATCTGATTGAAACATTCTTTTCCGTTTACTAAGTGTTATCATCAATTGAAACCACTTAAAACGGTTGCTTTAATGTCTATTGACGTGTGGATTTTTCCATGGAATTACAATGAAAATTGACGTTTATTTAATTGTAATAGAATTGATAACGTTCATTCAAAAGTTCATTAATCGCTATCTATTACGCCAATTGAAAAAAAGAAAATTTTAAAGCACTCGCGCCAAACAAACCGGCAATTTAAAGCTTTTCGTAAATAAGTAATTTTGTTGTATGTAGAAAGGCTTCCCGCTTACCGCTTTTACCGCTTACCGGGAACTGTTTTTCTTATATTCGTGAAATTTAAACAGGTGTGAAGAAGTTACGATATATATATTGGGTCTGGGAATTAGTTTTGTCGATTTTTTTAAATTTTCAAACATTTATTTGAATACCAAAATGAAATTACATTTCAATCAAAATATTGTCCATCGGAAGCGATGACCTTCTGCCACAATGTGGGCAATTGACGGATGCCTGCCTTAAAAAATTCCTCATCTTTTGAGGCTATAAATGCATCGAGCCAATTTTGGATTTCTTCAACTGAAGAGAACCGCTCTCCGTCCATATGGTTTTGCACCGATCGAAACAAATGGTAGTCGGAAGGAGCCAGGTCTGGGCTATACGGGGCGTGAGCCAAAACTTCCCATCCGCTATTTTCCAAGTAGTTTTTGACCGATTTCTCAATGTGTGGCCGAGCATTGTCATGTAGGAAAATCAATGTCTCTTTTCTGGTCTCCCATTTCGTGCGTTTTTCTTTGATTGCTTGTTTCAAACGTATCAATTGTTGTCGGTAGAAAGGCCCATCGATGGTTTGACCACTTCTCAGCAGCTCATAATACACCACTCCCTCCTCATCCCACCAAATAGACAGCATTACCTTGTCGCCGTGAATTTCTTGTTTTGGCTGTGATGTTGCTGGTTGGCCGGGCTTAACATACGATGCTTTGCGCTTGGGGTTATCGTAATGAATCCATTTTTCGTCACCAGTGACAATTCGATACAGAAAACCTCTTTTTTTGTGCCTTGCGAGCAGCATTTCGCAAGTCACTAAACGCCTTTCAGCTTGCGCTGGCGTCAATTCATGTGGTACCCAATTTGACAACTTGCGAATGAAACCAAGGGCCCTTAAACGATATCCAACAGTGCTTCGGTCAACATTCAATGCTCTGGCAAGCTCATCTTGAGTTTGACTCGAATCTTCATCGAGCAATGCCTCCAATTCCGCATCTTCAAACTTTTTTGGCTGGCCGGGACGTTCCTTGTCTTCCGTGCTAAAATCACCACTTTTGAACCGTGAAAACCACCGTTCACATGTACGTTCCGATGGAGCATGCTCACCATAGGCTTCCACCAACATTCGATGCGCTTCAGCCGCAGTTTTCTTCAAATGAAAGCAAAAAATTAATGCTTGCGGGAAATGTTGCTTTTTCGGTACAAAATTTGACATATTTAAGGCGCAAAAAAAAATGTTTATCCAAACTTCGATGAAATGATAGATGATGATTTTTGTAGTTTGACACTAGACCACTCATGTGAAAAAGAAAAAAGTATTGCCCGATACAACCATGCAAAGTTACGCCATCTTTTGAAAAATCGACACGATTAATTCCCAGACCCAATATAAGATATATTTTGGTCGTGTGTTGCAAACAAAGGTCGATCGAATGCTGGCAAATGATTTAAAAAAGACAATTTCCCATCAGTGAATTGTGAACCAGTTTAATCAACCATATATATGTGTATACTATATGTTATTATTTGCCGTTGACATTGTTTTACTATTTCGCATTATACTTAACATAATTTGAGCAGCAATTAAATCCAAATGATGTTTAAACAGACTCTAAAAACGTGATGTGATGTCTTGAAGCGCCAACAAATCGTTTTTTTTTATTGTCGTAGTAAAGTTCTATAGATTAGGCCCAGTTCAAACGTATTCATTCATTGAAATGAAAAAAGGAAAAACAAATGGAATTGAGTCGCGTGTTGCCGAGTGAGGGAAAGACAGCATTGTCGAAAAGCAGAGGAACAACAAAATTATTATACATTTATTTCAAAAGGCCTTTAAAAATAGAGATAAAATCAAATGACTGATTTTCATGTCGATGTTATCAGTAATTTTATGATTGAAATGACTATTTGTTTTCTTCAACGAAACATCAGTTCGAATGAATGGAAAACAATTGCAATGATGGTGTTTTGCGTTTTTGCCTCGCGTTTCGTCATCGTGACACGATCACACGTTTAAATTGCATTGGCGTAGTTGTGTACAGGCAGTTGATGCAATCAATGGAATTCAGAGTATGTATCGGTTAGATAACCGTCAAGGGAAGGTCATTGTTCTGATCAAATGAAATCTATTGCAATTTGTCGTTTTATCACGAATGTATTTATTCTTCTTTGCTCAATTTCTTTTTTTTTCGTTTCTATTTGCCAAACACTTTAATATAACATGTTTTGTGCTTAATTTAAATTCTGTCAACTGTTTATATTACTTTTCCGTACACAACGTGTCAAGGGAAAGTATAGGAATTGGTCCCGAAAACTTTTTTCGCAAAATTAGCTTAGATCATCATAAAAACTCATGAAACTCGTAGAAAATCACTTTTTGAGACACTTTTCCGTTCGTGTGCCGTCGTCGTTGTCGTCGTCGTCGTCGTTGGTGTTTGTTAACACGATAACTCAAAAAAAATTGAGATAATCAAAATCTGGAAATGCCAAAAGTTTTGTATTCGAAAAACTTAGTTTAAGTTCGGAGATGAGCCATTTTCGATTTGATCCTGGGGTACTTGCCCTAAGAAAAACCTCAAAAAATTGACACTTTTGTATGGGAGGTACCTGTAAATCGAGTCCGATTGGCTTCAAACTTTCTGTGATATCATTTTTTGAGAGAAAAATAAGATTCTGAAAGTTTGAAACCAATCGGAATCGATTTACGGGTACCTCCCATACAAAATTTTTGAAATTTTCACTAAAATTACCGATTTTTGGACAATTTTGTATGGGAGGTACCCGTTAATCGATTCTGATTGGCTTCAAACTTTCTGAGGTTTCATTTTTTGGAGAAAAAATAAGATTCTGAAAGTTTCATGTTGATCGCCTTTGCAGAAGTTTGATTTTTTGTCCTCAATTTTTGTCGAAATTTTCTTAGAAAAAATTGAGGGCCAAAAACCAAACTTCTGCAAATGCGATCAACATGAAACTTTCAGAATCTTATTTTTTCTCCAAAAAATGAAACGTCAGAAAGTTTGAAGCCAATAGGAATCGATTTACGGGTACCTCTCATACAAAATTGTTGAAGTTTTGGTTAAAGTGACCGATTTTTCAATTTATTTTCTTTATTATATTTTCACTGCCTTTATTTCAAGAAAATTCAGAAAAAATAACCAAAAGGACCTACGGACAACGCAGGCCAACGGTACGGAAAAGTTCGGGATTACCAATGTAATTCTTTTTATTTAAATAAAACATCACTTCGGGACAATTCTAAAAAGTATTATGTTCGAACAAATGAACATTCAGGAATGAAGCTAAGACTTTAGCGGACTTTTTGCAAAAGTAACACTGTTTCTACGCATTTCGCCAAAGTTTGTTCATCTCTTATTCTCATGGGTTCGAATAATCTTTTGTTCTACTCTCTATAAATCAGTCTGTCTATAAATATGTATTGATGATATCCTTCAGGCTGAGTGTGGTGCCAATTACAAATCCAGCCAAGCCAATCACACAAATGAGTATATTTCTGAAAATCATGAACGATTTTGAATAGCCCGAGGTTCTATTCCATTTGTATGCACATTCCAAAAAGGGGGGAAATAGAATACCCAACGTCGATAGTGACAAGGCACCAATCAACGAAATGAACAGCCCCAAATTTGGAATCGCGACGGCCAAGATAACTGTGAATCGGATAATGAGAATATGGATTTCGATAAGTTGACAAGAAAATGTGTATAAATCAAGAGGATTGGGTGCACCTACATGTGATGAATACAACTCCAGTACGCAATGCATATTCCCACAATAGTTTTCGTTCGCTATGTTCAAGCCGTTTGTGAATATACTGATTCCATAAAATATCAATGGCCACGTAAATGTATATAGCATGTGAGGTGAACACACCCAGCGCAATCATTACTTTAGCGACTTGAGCCAGCACTTCGTTGGGTAAATTGATGGTTATAGTAGATTCAATGTCGGCTCCATATTTAATGTAGCCAAAAAAACCAAGTGAAATGTATAAAGAGACAATTAAAAACATGGATCGATTCAAGATTCCAGTTACTCCGCGAAAATCTTTTGGATTCTTCATTTCATTTTCCAAAGGCATGATGACACCAATCGCTTCCAATGCGAAGAGAACCGTATCAAAGAACATGGGGAATTCCGAAAGAGTTGCATACGGTCGTTTGCCTTCGAAAGTCAACGGTTCGC